GATTGTGGTAAGAAAGAATGAGTCATAAGGCTAAGAAATATCTAAATATGCACCATGAGCTGTTATTTACCTTATACTAATTTGTTACTTTGCATACTTGGCATGAATAACACACACACGGAGGTGATTTCGTAAAGACTAGGTGAAATTCGAATTTGGATGAAGATATACTTGTTTTTCTTGCGTCTGAGATATTGTATCCAATTGTCATATGAACTAGTTATGTTTGATAGTTGCTGTGAAGTTCTTGTGTGTTTGTTGCAGTGTCACTTGCCTGAGTGACATTTTCACTCAGGGGAGTCAGTGGTTAGCGATTGTTTTCTTGTTTTTATGTGTAGTTCTTAAGGGGTTAGATTGTTTTGCTTGAGGACAAGCAATTCTTCCAGTTTGGGGGAGGTGATAATGGTCAAATTGTTACATAAAAAGCATTGCAATTTTACTCTTTAATTAGTTAGAAATTAGGGGTGTTTCTTAGACTTTGTTCATTTTACTTAGCTAGTTTTGTGTTTCTAAATAGGTGAGGACCGGAGTGAACAAATGCTGAAAATGGGGGCTTATGGAGCAATAATTGGGCTGCTGATTCCAATTTAAAATGAGGGCTGAGTGGGTCAAAAAGCAACTCCAAGACACAAGACACAATTTAATGTGTGTCCCATCCAAGGGCATGCTTGTCCCCTTGGTTAGACTCCCAACCGCCCATGATGATCAATGTTGCAGCTGATACCAGTGCTGGAGAAGGGCAAGAGACCAGTCAATTCTTGGATTCAAGACACAAAGCATTGGGAGGAATAAATAATTCACAAGCATGGGGAGGCTATCTTGGAAGAAGAACCGGCAACAAGCTCTATAAAGGGGGATGCATTCCCAGCAGAAAAATATAGATCTGGGAGGACATACAACACAAAAGACACCATAGAGAGAGAAGAAGAGAGTGGAGAGGGGAGAAAACTCCAAAGGAAGAAGAAGTCCAGTAGCAGAAAAAGAGGAGTAACAGACCTCACTCGCCTGAGTGACCTTTGTCACTCAGGCGAGTGACCTGTTGCTCAGCCATCCAGATTTGCTTCTTCTCAATGATTTCCTTCTTTTCTTGTATTTTCTGTAGTTTGTATGTGTAGTTAATTAGATTTCATTCTCTGGAACCTATGTAGTTTAAGTTTGTGAATGCATTCGGATGATTTTGTGTTTTGAAGTTAAAGCTTTCATCTCCCTCTTGATTAAATTGGCCATTTGATTGATTGTGCACAGAACTAAGTGAATCCCGGAAGGGTAAACAAGGTTCAGAATCATTTAGCTTCAACTTATGACTTGGAGGTAACAGTCCAAGGTTCTAATCGAGATAGGAATATACTTGGTTAGCATAAGCATTCATATAAGGCTTGAAAAACTTCATGACTTTATGACTTGATTAATCGTTGGAAAATAGTTTAATTGAGTTGATAAAGATACCTCTAGGAAAAATCGAAAGTGACTTAGAGATATATAAGTGCCCTGAATGAGCATGAATTCATACCAAAAGAGTGCAAGATTATAACTTGATTACATAGGGAAAAGAGAATGAATATCCAGTTTGTTGAGTCAGTCCCTTGAGTCGGAACTTTCACTCCCGTGAGTGAGGTTCCATTTGTCTTTCTTTGTCTTTAGTTCTGCAGAGTCACTTGCCTGAGTGACTTTACCCACTCGTGCAAGTGAGTGACACTCTGCAACTTTCTTTCTTGTTTGTCCAATTTTGTGTTCCGGTTATTTGAAGTTTAACTGTCCCTGTGGGATCGGCCTGACTTATCCTATCTACAGTTTAAGTTGGTAAATTATTTTGGGGGCTTCGACAACCCACCGATGGTCTCTAACAATGAAATTCAACAATGATCATCAAAAGCCAAATCTCAACAAATCAACAAATAAAAGATTGTGTTTCAAAGCAGCAACGAATGCATCACAACTTTACTCCTTCGCCTGCTTGCCCAATCCTTGTAGTTTGAGATACCAAGGGATAATAACTCTATTGTTGGGGTGACTATAATGTCCTCCATAATCTATCTGGTATGCAGTTGCAATCCCACCAAACTTCTTGTCCATGGTAGCTGGCCCACAGACAAGATATTTGAGCTTGTCACTTCCTTGACCAAGCGACATGCAATCCCTCAATCTATCTTTCCCTTTGAAATTTTCTGCAGAAGTAGCACCGCATCTAATTATGCACCGAGACTCACATTCAAGTACGATACCATTAGTTCCAACGACATATATCACAGGCACCTTTCTCACTGGATGATACACGACTAAGACGGAATAAAATGGAAATACTTTCATCCTTGCTACATTTCTAACACTCTCCACCACTAAATTATTCTCCATCTCCATTACAGTCTTTTGATTATCGGCCAAAATGCGAGCAGCAACGTCAATGGTAAACTTAGTAGAATCTCATACAACCTCACTTAGAAAGACATTAACCAAATCATTTTGGACCGGAGTAAGTCCAGAACAAAAAAATAAGACGTTTTTATCTAACTTGAAGACTTTATCAACGTCGTCACAAAGTATATCTCTATTTGGCTTAGTGACCCATCCATCACAAGCAATAACGTCATCAAGCAATTGTGATACTTGTGCGCTATGATGGTTGTAAGGCTTATAGTACCACCGAAAAGCATCTTTTTAGCATGGTTGTTATTCTTATTCAGCAACTTGGTCAGTTCTTGAAAGAAATCTTTCATTGGTACACATCCAAAAGCAGGACCATCCCCAATTAGATTGATTAGGCTGCACTAGGCAGAACTTTTTGAAATCCATCACCACCAAAATTAGTAAACTCGAGTTCATAGTTTCCTCTATAATGAAAATATACACGGGTTCCTTCAACGATACCCAAAGACGTAACAAAATTCAATAGATTTTTCCCAACCAAGAGCACCCTTCCTTTATTTGTTAATTTCATGGCTATTTCAATTATTCCAATAAGGCTATCCAGTTTGATCCTTTTGGCACATTATCAATGAAACATTCACGGAAACGACTCGTGAGGGTCTTAATTAAAACAAATGCACATTATTACAAACACAACATTATAAGATAGAACCGAAGAGTAATTCATGTAAAAAATAAAAATTTAATTTTTTTTAGAAAACTAAATAGTTTGTAATCTTTAGGAACGATGTAAATAAATTGGAAGTGGTCAGACTTGATGAATTTGACAATCCTTGTTACAACCAAACTCTATTAAAAGAAAAAACAATAGGATCGGAACCATATACATAAACATTTTTATGTATCCCCTAATTTATGGGATGCTCATATTACAAACTATTCCTTAACACGATAACAATGCAGATGATCAATCACTATTGTCAATGTGTATTAGTTACAAAATGAATCTACCAATCATAATAAAAAATAAAAAAAAAACAAATATCGACGATGAAAACCGACAATATATATCCTATCTCTGTAGCAAAATCGACATTAAAACAGAACTTGTGGTTTTGATAGATGAATAAACAATAAGATAAAAGAATTATAGAAAGCTTAGAAGGATAAAGAAATAGCGTACATTGCGATAATACGAACTTGTGTCTCTGATGGAAAAAAGTTTGAAAAGCGATAACAATGGCCGAATTGAGACCGGAAAATATGGTGCCAGTATTGGGGTCGTAAAAAAAGCAAAAAGTAAATAATGGTAGAAGGAGTGGTTAAGGGAATAAATAAGAGTGATTGTAAAGGTAGAAAAATTAATGAAAAGACGTGATGAGTTAAAGATGTTGTAATGTTGCATGTAGTTTTGTATAAGTAATTGAAGGGATAGTTTCTTTTTAGTTTTTCCTTAGACACTGTATTAGAAAGAAGAGATGTGAGAAATCACAATTTATATTTTTGCGATCAATTATAGTTTTTCAGATGTTACAAAATCTTTTTTTATATATACATGGATTAATCAAAACTAATAAGGATTTTCATATAATTAATCTAATAAGTACGAAATTCCAATACAACTCATTTTTTTCCAATACAACTCATTGTTATATAGGCTCATAATTGAACTAATAACACAAGTTAGTGGACCGAGACGTTATAATGGGTTAAAGGAAATATTTAACATTTGGGCAATCAATAGAAGTTTCATCCCTAGACAAAGCCCAATATGTAGTCCAATATACATCTCAACAGTTTCTATTCAATTGGCAATTGATTACGTGCCATTATAAAAAATAATTCAATAATTAATCCATAAAGTACCATAACATGGACCGCTATATTCGTTGACCACCATAAGTTCAAAAATAATTTATCCCTCACCATAAGTTGCAATTCCGTCCTTCTCCACTTTTCTCTCTTTTTTCCATCAAAAAACTAACGGTGCATAACTTGCACATGGTTATTTGTAAGGGGAATTTTGTCCTTTTATATGTGCACTTGCAAGTCAATGACCCGTTGACCCGTGGGTTTAATTCCCATTTACTATTTATGCGGGTTAATTTTTATTTACTAATTAGTACTATTTAGTACAACAAATAATAAATTGGTAAATGAAATCACCAAAATTTACTCAAAAAACCCATGGGTCATTTGTCCACCCACCATCAATCGCTCCCACCCAAGCAACCACCTGCCTCTATCATCAAAACGGTACCCACTGCCGCCACCCGCCACCTTCATCCCTTCACCCTCTATCTGTTATTTTCTTTTTCTCGTCAAAATTTGCCCGCCACCACCTCTTTTGCTTATTTTCTTCCATTATATATAGGAATCCAAAGGATAGCACTTTAGCCTTTTAGTTTTCAGAAATTTTTATTGGTGAAGTTTTAATTTTAAATTATAATTGTTAAGAATGATTTGATTGTATGAATTGGGAATGGATAAGAGTAAAGTGAAATATGATTGAGGGAGGAATCTAAGGAGGCAGAGGAAGAGGCAAGGGAGAGAAAGGTGATTGCGGGGCAGAGGGGTCACAGATTTAGAATTTTTGAATTGGGGTTAACTCTTTTCTGTTGGAAAGAACGGAGTGATCAGCAATAGGAGGCTTGATAATTATCAATTTTACTACTTGGTGAAAGGACGGTGACCGGCGGTCGATGCAGGGGCTGAAGAGGTAAAGAGGAGGAGGTAGGGAATGATGACGACGATGGCGGTTTTTCCTTTTTCTTTTTATAAGGAGGGAACAGCGGTGGTGGTTGGTGTGAAACCTGGGCCATTGGGGATGAAGAATCGGAAGCGACGGCGTTGTGGGGAGGAGGCAGAGGGAAAGGGACGTTGGTGTGGTTGAGGAGATTCACCTTACCCTTTGGTTGTTGTTGAATCGACTCCACGGCGTTGTCCATTAACTTCCAGACATAGACGCCGGAATCAATTCCGTACCTGGCCCAGCCTCCAATGCCGTCTGCCACTCCAATTGTCTTGGTCATCGCAGATAAAGAGGGCATCTTCGCCCAAAGTTGTCTTCTGCTGGTAATAAGGATCGGGTTTTGACCCGGTCAATTTTTTTTTGGCTCATGTGCGATGCACGTGTCTCTATATTTATAAAATGACCGTTGGTGCCCTTTGCCAAAAGGCATGCGCCGTTACTTTTTTGGCGGAAAAAAGAGGAAAAGTGGTAAAAGACGAAATTGTAACTTATGGTGGGGGATAAATTGTTTTTGAACTTATAGTGGTGAACGAATATAGCAGTCCAAGTTATGATACGTTATGGATTAATAATTGAAAATAATTTCGTTATATAGGTAAACACAAACTCCTTAAAATGATCTATCTGACCAATGTAAAATAACAGAATACATAATTATAGGATCCAAAAGAAATAATTCTGGAAAGTATTATTCTAATAATTTTATTTGTTTCAGGTCATTGTTGACTGACCACTATGTATATCACCCTAAACCATAAACCACATAACTCTAATAGTGGGAAAACAATAAAACATCAAGATCATATACTATTTGGCACATTAAATAGATTTAGTCTAAAGATATGATTGGGTAACAGTCATTGACAATATAAATAATTTGTTTTGATAGTCCACAATATATAATTATAGTTTTATTTAAAATCTTAACAATTATAGAAAATACATATAGTTATGCGGGCTCCTTATCGAATTAAAAACCCAAAGTAGTGGGCCGAGACATAATACCGGGTTAGCAAGAAACATATAACATTTGGGCAATCAATAAAGTTGTCATTGCAACCCGGTCCCAATAAGTAAAACTAATAATACATCTTTTCCAAATGGAATTGCCCAAGACATTGTAAGGGGCATCTAATTCGGGAGTAAGTAACAACACTTGTAATAGTCCATAAAACAAAATTATGTACAACCAAACCTGGTGGAGGGGTTGATTGTGTGCACTTTGAGTCGACCCATATCCAGTGTTGTCAAACTCGGACTGGAGCTCGACTCGGCAGTGGTCAGGGGTCGAGCTACTCAGGGGTCGGCTCAGGACGATTTGGGGGTCGACTCGAATGATGTCATAATGATGTAATAAATATTAAATATTAATAATTATAATTTTCAATAAAATTTTTTATATTTTACATATATTTGTTAATTGTTAAAATTAAACTAGCGTTTCATAACTTTCAAATGGGTTTTTTATGAAACAAAATAATGACATTAGCTAGAATATTAGTTTAAACTAACTTTTATTATAATGAAAAAATTAATAAATTTACTACATAATTGAATTTTATCATTAAAAAATTATATTGCATGTTTAATCAATGTATTTGGTAATAATTTTTTCAGCTTTGGTTTAAAGTGATGAATATTGCTCAAATTATTTAGTTTATAATATATTCCCTTAGTTCAAAATAATTAGTACTCAATTTGACATTTCATATGTGAGATGAATGACTAAATTGAAAATTTAGACTTAAATATTTGAAATTATGGGTTAAATCACATAAATATAAAAGTTATGGGCCATTAATAACACAAAGAATTTAATTCTGGACCAAAAGATAAAAGTTCATCCTCAAAAATAGTGAAAATAAAATTAAAAAGTAGGCTTATAGTCAAAACCCGGTTCAACCCGAGTTTGACCGATTTCCGGATTAACCGAAAACTTGACAGATTTTGACCGAGTCATAAATAGCCAATTTTATGTCTTACTCGGCTCGGTTTAGGGTCCGGTCCCGGTTAAACCGATATGACCTGTCGGTCCGAGCCGAGTTTAACAATACTGCCCATATCCACCTTATATTTTTCGAAAACAGGGATCATTGACTCCCCAAGTAATCAACTTAATTTCCATCATAACTATGGAGGTTTTCCATCATAGCTGAGAAGACACCGTAACTTTGGATTTTTTCCATCAATACAAAAGTGATTCTGAGATTACTCAAATTAGAGTGACTTTGTGCACCGAGATACCTGAACGGTTGAAGGGATGAACGGGTGAAGTAATAGTGTTGACCAACTCAAAATCCAAAGCACATTGGACCAATACCAGGTCTGATGTGATAGGGAGAATTCTATCTGGTTTTTTGTTTAGAATATATTCAACCCACGTGTCATGATTCAAAGTTTGAACATCATCCTTCATATTGTATTTCACAACCACGAGCTTAGCCCATTGGGATTCGTTAACACACAAATAACAGGTTTTGGGAAGAAGCTATCAATTGGTTTTGTCTAAGGTCAACATATGAATAGGGTTATGGAGGATCTTATTTCAATTTTCTTGCACCACCCAAGCTTTGCGTACAGATTCCACATCAATTTTCGACAGGATTTCACAGACGATTCATGAGCAAAATATTCAAATGACGTAAGTGTGGATAGCAGAAATGGAGTATTAAGGGAAGAGTTTTCCTTGATTGGGGAAGAATTGAATTGTTCATTTTTAGAGGGAGATTTAGGCATGATTATTATAGAGACAAAAGTCCAAAAAAGGTGTAAGTGTTATAAAATTAATACTAAACTAACATATGAAACTAAGCATAAGAACGAAAGAGAAGAGACAAGAGAGTAGAGAGAGATAAGAGACTTGTATTCAAATGTGTTTTGAAGCATGAATGAGCTCCCTATTTATTCAAGAAGAAGGGGATCAAACTATGTGAAATGAATCACCTATCATTAATGCTAAATATTACAGAATCATATCTCATTAATTGTGAATATTTTAATACATATTAATGTGGATATTCAATCAAATCAGATTTTTCCATAACACTCCCCCTTTGAATGTCCATCGTTGCAGAACAATGCCTCGTTAAAACCTTACCAGGAAAAACCCTTTGGATAAAACCCTAGTGAAGGAAAAAAAATACATTTCCGTATGTGACGCTGCCTCGTTAAAAAAAAAAAAAAACCTTGTCAGGAAAACCCTTTGGGACAAAACCTCGATCAAGGGAAAAAGAGTATAGCACGGTGTTACTCCTCCTATTGAGTACATCACTTGTAATCTTCTTGCCACATGTCCATATGTTGACCAGGTTCACCATTGTTGAAGTTAATAATGGACGGATCACTTCGATTTCTCTGCAGACGATCATCTTCATATACTGGTGTAATCTTGAGTGTTTTATAACAACAGAGATCTATAGTAAGCATACCAAGAATGTAGTTATACATACAATCCTCTAATACCTTGGGTAATAAACCGATACTTATAAGTATTACAATATAGTACTTCAAGACCAAATCGGTTTACATTTTATTATAAGGCTATAAAAAAGATTTTATGCACATCAGACCATAGTCTAGTGCACTCAACGGGTGTTAAATGTATATAAACTTAGGCCAAACTACTATGAACGAGATTCTACTAAAAGTCTTTCATTATTCTTGCTTTAGGGAAGTAGCAACCTTTCCAACTTAAACATCTTTTGAACTTCCTTTTTGAAGTCTTAATAATCGTTATAAACTCTTCAGAAGTTTTAATGATATTCAGGCTATTCGAACTCTGTAATGAGTTTCATTAATATTTAGCTATTTCAAACACTTTAAAATTTCAATTCTAACCAAATAGCGAATACACATATAATTTATGAAAAATTCATATCAATATCTCATAGAAAGCACAAGCAATCACCTTACAGACAAATGTAACATATCCGGATAAAACATATAAAATCAAGTGCATAAACGGCAATAACCAAAATGTTCAAAAATATGCACCTAAATATTTGTCTAGACACATGAAGATACTATAACTGGTGCAATTCTTTCATATTAATTGCTCGAAAATCGGAACCATGTCCCTTATTGAATCCATCAAGGATTTCATATAAACGCCATTTTCAAATGGCAAATATCAAGTATTGTTTCAAGTGATCACTATATTCACTAGACGCATTTTATTTCTTCATTTGCTACTAGTTTAGCAAATAACGGAAGAATGAATATTTTCATCCACCACAAGAGAATTTATCTCTAAATTATTAACATCCGAACTTCGGAAAATTTTTTACAATAAATTGGTTGCTCATTAATCGTTTACACAATCACCCAACAATATTTACCTAGTATATTAACTTTCAAAACTTCTATTGCTTCAAGCAATTCCAAAATGTATGTACAACATATATAGGTGTGCATTGTGTCTTTTCATGTATTATGGTCAATAAGTTTAATGTCCGTATCCAACACAGACTTTCATTTCATGATCCATTGTCATTCATTTTACTAACTGCAGCATAAGCATTTTATTATTGATCGATTCCATCTTTCTTTAATAATGAGATCTCAACAATCATTAAAGTTCCCAAGTGTTTTTATACTTCTTCTGGAAATTGATTAATCATAGTGGGAAACTATTCAAATTGAAATATTCTTATGAATTCTAATCACTCGTATTTTCTATCCATAGATTTAAATTTTGTCATTCACGAGGATTTTTATCATTGGAATCGATAGTTCTACCACTCATCAAATGGATATTTAGCTAAAGAATAGTGACAGATAGCTCTTCAGGGACACATTATCAAATTTTGTGTTTTAACAGCCTTTTATATATTTATACATTTGGTCAAGTAAACATTTGGTCTTAAACATTATCTCTTGAACTTTAGGTTCATATCATGGAGGATCTGATGAGATAATGATCTTGTCCATTTTATTTATGAATCAGCTATTTTAACTTCTCCCCCTGATGTTGGGATAACTAACTCGCTAAAATGATGATTAACCAACCAAGCAGTTAATAATCTCCCTTTTGAGAGTAACTAACTCGTCAAACTAATATGATCAGTTCATCGAATAGTTAATCCAACACCAATAATTTCAAAAATTAGAGATTCAGTATTCAACATATATTTCTAACCTCTTCTGGAGGCTCCATCTTTGTGTGCATTGTGGTGGAGCAACTATCTTATATAAACTGCACATTTACTTATCTTGAAGATGGATATGGATGTTTTCTGACCGAAAACCACTATTTGGGAGAATATTTAGAATGACCCGTTCGGTCTTATGCATATAATT